AAATGTTAGAATATAAGAATATATTATATTTTTTTATGGGAAAACGGTCATTTTAATACTGAACTGTCCGGTTTGCGCCAAAACAAACACCAACTTGTTAATGAGTCATAAAAAGCACAAACTTGTATTGATTCGGCCAAATTAAGTATAAAATTAGTCAACTTTAATAGCCATTTAAAAAAGGTTAACCTCGTTTACTATAACTGTTAATGACGTTTTGAGATTAAGAAAAATGATCATTTAAATACCAAACTCTCCGTTTTACGCCAAAATAAATACCAACTTTTTAATGAGTCATAAAATACACAAATTTATGTTGACTTGGCCAAATTAGGTATAATATTAGTCAACTATAGATCGGAGCCCGGGTCCGAATACATGGAGAGACGAGACCCTACGAGGCCATAGCCTGAGTCCAACAACTTGTTAGGGCACGAGATCCCTGAAGGTCGTAGCCTGAGTATGGAGATTTGGGAGGACACGAGATTGCGATAACCTAAGTCCGGAGACCTATGGTAGCACGAGAACTCCCGTGAAGGTTGCGATAACCTCATTTCAGAGATATTACGAGTTAGTACGAGAACTCTCATGGAGACCTATGGCATGAGTCAACCGACTTGTCCCCTTTGAGACTGCTGAAAAGTTCTCATCATTTTTTGGGGTAGAATCGGAGGCAAACCTGCTCCTTAGGAACGAGCTGTATTAAAGCGATACCCGAGCATGGTCTTTCGGGAGACTATGCCACTGATCTTGATAATTATGATTCTCCTTTGTTTCCAATCAAAAATCCCACTATCTCTTTTTTATTAAAAAAATCATAATAGATTATGCAATTGTTATGCAATCCGAGGTTGCCAACACCTTAGGATGATGTTACTCATGCTACAACCTTGGGATTTGACCATGTCTCCGGACCCAGGTTTCGATCTATAGTTGACTAATATTATATATAATTTGGCAAAGTCAAAATAAGTTTGTGTATTTTATGACTCATTAAGAAGTTGATATCTGTTTTGGCGCAAAACAGAGAGTTAGGTATTTAAATGACCATTTTTCTATTCTCGAAACGATGTCGTTTTTTAAACGGCTGTTAAAGTTATCCACGGAAATACTATTAAAAATAATTAAAATATCTAAGAAAGTAAAAAGAAATAATATTGGCTCCGATTGATAGCATCTGCGTAACTGCGGAATGGCGGAATATAAAATTAAGCGGCGGAATAATTTTGTTTTGCGGAATAAAAGTTGCGGAACAAAATTTTTGTACGATTGGATAAATTTTTGCGGAATGGCGGA